GTAGAGTATTTTGAGCTGAAACTTCACAGACACATTCTGGGGACACCAGAGACTTATATAACATATTGTAAAAAGGGGCATAATATGTTTTCTTTAACAACTACCTTATTAACTATTAATAAGCAAAACATTTGTAGCAAAACATAATACGTTTTTAACAACTAGTTGTTCAGTTTATTTCCGTACACACTACGTTGAATTTCTGTAAGAATTTAGAGAGGCAATTTGGTTGTAGAATGCAGTTGTCACTCGCGTAAATGACTGAACTGTGTGTGTGTACAGAACAGGATTATGCGCTAAAAGGTGAATTGACAACCGAATCTAGCTGCAATGTATGCATGGCCATATGTTTTTCATCATTCGAAACAACCCTACATTGGGTGCCACATTTGTCTGCATGCATTAGGTTAGAATAGTCTGATTTCGAATGGCCTTAAATAAAAAAAGATCTGCATATGGTGACATAATGTGTAATTTCAAGTCATGCTAGGCTCAGTTCCCGGATGACATACCGAGGACATTCTCGAAATGAGAAATGCTTTGCTCCCTGAGCCTTGGGGCTTTTCGGATTGCATGTCAATACTGTTTACTATACTCAGCTTGACGTATAGATGCTCGTGTAAACAATACCTTTATCTTTGTCCTCTAGGAAAGTAATTGCTTTTGTTTCCAGTCCTATTCCCTGTCTGACTTGTCCTTTCTCCGTGTTTGCGTTTAGAGGTGATCAGGCAGAGGTACGTGGACGTGCCGGGAGAGCTGCTGATCGTGGAACTGGAGAAAGACCGGAATGGCTTGGGACTCAGTCTGGCCGGGAACAGGGATCGCTCCTGCATGAGCATCTTCGTGGTGGGGATCACCGCTGGAGGGCCAGCCAGCCGAGACGGACGCATCAAAGTGGGCGATGAGCTGTTGGAGGTGAAACGCGCAAACACACAGTGAAGTGATTGAGTGGTGGGTGTTGAATTGTTGAGGTGGGGCTTCATCTTCAGCTTACCGAACAGTATATCTTTAACAAAACAGAAAAAATCACATTAAATTATTTGTTTATGAGCAGTCATTATAATTGATATGAATTGCTTTATTAATGAGTAGCCTATAGGGTACATGTATTCGTAGCAAAAATCTTCGGTACGGGTCTTTCGGTTACCGAAATTTCAGTTACTTCGGTACGCATGTGTACCGAACAAATCGTTCAGTTTTTCAGGAAATTCAGACAATAAATGCCGTTTTGACACTCTTTGACGTGGCGTGACAGATCGCCGTATAAACGTCCCAGTTCTGATGGCAGCACGGAGCGCGAGTGAGGGCGATCATCCCTTCCTCTTTATTACTAGTTTTACATGAAATAAACATGAATGAACATCTCATGCCTCATGTAATCGCTCAGTTAGTGTTTCAACCACGGAAAGACGTCAACAAAACAGCTTGTAAACAAAATGTCATGTAGCATTTCATTTACCTCAGGCAAGTCATCAGTGTCCACAGCTTGTCAGTTCACCAGAGAAATTAAGTCTAGAGAAGAGCATTTTGCAAAATATTAGACTATACTTTATTATATTTACTTTACCTGTTAGTGATGTCTTAATTATTTAATGTATATGTTTAAATATTTTATGAAACAAGTTATGATTCTGTAAATTATTAGTCTACATTTCAACAACAAATAGAAACTGTATAATTTAGAAGTTAATTTTAAAACAATTTACATGTTTGCATGCAATTTTTTAATTTGAGTGGTTATTATAGTTAAAAATAAATAGTAATTGAATTTAAGTTTAAGCTCTGTTGTTAATTGTAACCTTAAGGGCTCCCTACACTGTAAAATCTAATTAGTTGGGCTTACCTAAAAAAAAGCATGCAAACCGATTGCCTTGAAAAAACTAAGTAAAGAAGAGCAAATCAAATGGTTATTGTTACAATTAATGAAAATAAATGAAATTGAATTGTTACCATTGCTGTGATTCACGTGCTGAATGTCTATGTGTGACTTTAGTATATTACCACACACGATTTAAGGATTATATAAACCCAATTAAAATCATCTCAAGGTATTTGTGAAAAATGAAATTTGAAACAGTTAATTAATAAACACACACACAATAAATTCACTAATGCTTTAATTAGAAGATAGGTGTTGTTATGTTGCACATTAGCAACATATTAGTGCACTGCTGCCTCTCACTGCTTTATTAATGTCATCGGTTCCTTTGTGGCTACTAGAATATTTTAAGTAAGTGTCACTCAAAACAGTAAGTAAATTGTTTTATTTGCCTTGAAAGTAGCTGTAACGTAATAAAACCTAGTAAGTATAACAACTAAGCAAAGATAACTAATTAAATCTAAGTAAGGTAAACTATTGGATTTTACAGTGTATAGTTTAGAGCAGAAGCTGACGTAGATTTTTATAGATTTTATTTTAGACTTTTATAAGAAAATTTTTATAGAATTTATTTAAAGAGAGCCATTTGTTCAGTAAACCACTGTTAAATTTTAAAAAAGCAATGTATGTTTAGTTTTTTTCCTCCTGCTGTACCAAAATCATACCGAACCGTGACATCTCAACTGAGGTACGCACCGAACCGTCATGTTTGTGTACCGTTACACCACTAGTAGCCTATAATAATAATAATAATAATAATCATGTATTTTATTTAAATATAAATAGTTATTAATTACATTTAGGTAATTCTATTGTATCATTAATTTTATCATGCATATTCTTAATTTTATTTATTATAATTTATTAAATATTAAACATTCTAAATGTATAAATATATCTCTATCTATCATTCCTTCTATCTGTCTGTCTGTCTGTCTATATATATATCTATCGTTCCTTCCTTCCTTCTACCTATCTGTCTATCTACACTTTAGAACAATTTTCACTTTAATGCACAAAGTGCTAGTAAATTTCACAAATAATTAATCCTTCCTTCCTTCCTTCCTTCCATCCATCCATCTGTTAGTTCGGTAGAGACTGCTATATTTTATATTTATTGAAAAATTAAATACTAAAAATTAAATTTTGAAATGACTCATTTTAAATTATGAATTAACGACATTTAATATTATATATTTTTACTATTATATATAATTAATATTAATGAGTGAACTATATTGCTTAAATAATATAATTTATTCATAATAATACAAAAATATGTATTAAACCAAGCTGTCCCTACCCTTTTTTACAAAGTGACTCTAGCATACTTCCAGTGAGGAATTATGGGTCAGTTCTCAGGATTTAGAAGCTATCTGTCCCTCTCTCTTTCATTTTTTCGTTCTCTAGGTAATAGCCTTTTTCTGTTGGGCCCCTTGTAATCCAAGGGGAAAATGATGGTTTCCATCAATTTTCATTCTCATTCTGGTCTAATGCTGAATGAAGCATGGGGCTCGAGGGTCGTCTGGGTCAGTCTCATATAGCCAAAATCACTTTGAGTCTTGAGGGATGTGGTGGCCAGGCTCTCTGTTCTGGATGTGGATCACCTGGTCCCTCTATCTCTGTCTCGACCTGTTTGTATCTGTGCCTCAACTATTAATGTGTAAACGAGAGTGTGGGGTTTTGCCTCAGATGGGCGGATGAATTTCAAATGAAGCCACCTGCCCTCAGTTTCACTATCTGTGTCTGTGCTTATCAATTTCTCTGCCTCCCTCTCCTGCTCGCTTTATCTCTCCAAGTGTTTCTGTAGCTCCACAACCTCACCATAAGACATAATTCATTGCGAGTTAAAACACACTGATAACGGCAGGTCACTTTTATGTTTTTATACATGCACAGTTTTAATGTTTTTATTCATGAGTGTGACTTTGATTTGAATTGGCCACACCCCACAGGAAGTTGAATTTGGAATTTAATTTAAGTTCCAAGAAACTGAATTGTCCTGTCATTTAAAATGTTGAACTTTGACAGAATGTGAATAATTTAAATAATTATTTTAAACCAGTCATTTTCACAAATGATGGCTGTTTATTCCCTGATGTCAAGAATATGTTTTCCCTCAGATTATTGAAATAAAAAAAAAAAAGCAAATCCATATTTTAATATTTAATCAATGGATTATATAATGGAACTTTGGGAAATTAATTTATTTATTTATTTATGTAATATACATAATATATTCATAATATATTAATATCTAATAATCATTCATATTGTGTGTATATATATATGAAGGTCTATTAACAAAAAAATCCTGTCATTTTAAATAGATAATTTTTTGTGACACGTGAATAATTTAAAAAATAATTTTAAACCAGTTATTGTAACAAATTATGGTCATTTTCTAACTGACATCAGGGATATTTTTTCTTCAATTTATTAAATATTAAGAAAAAGCTAATCCACAAATTAATATTTAATCAATTGATTATATAATTTATGAAACATTTTGGTGAATGTATTTGACCATAAAATTAAAGACGACAATAAAATCAAATATAATTAGTAATTATATTTATTATTTATTAGTAATTATATTATTATATGTTTATTTATGACAAGTACATTTAAATACTAATTTATACAGGCAATTAAAATCACCTAATATTTCTGAAAATAGCACAGGGTGTATATTATATTATGTTTATGAGTAATTCATGCTTTACAAAGTAAAGCAAAGTATTATTAAAACTACACTTTTAGTTGACTTACAAATGACTCTGAATCCTGTTTGCTACTTTAATTTACATTCGGCTCAAATTCAGGAAGGCATTCGCAATTCATTTCGGAATGAACTCAGCTGGTCCATCGTATTGCTGCATCCCACAATAAATTCCCTGATCTTTTCCCGTCCAGATGGCATTTTGGTTTCCACGTTCGTTTCCTCCTCGGAATTGCCTATCGATTTAGCAATTTGGTCGACACGTACGAATGCTGTATTTTGGTGTGGAATTTGAGGCCTGGAGCAGGCGAGGCTCAGAGCCGTGCTCGCTGACCTTTGTCTAATATCTATCTCTATTAGATGTGAACACACTGCGGCATTAGTCATGATCCGCTAGTGCTCCTGCCTAATGATTCTGTCACAGGTGATTGGAGACACAAGTCAAACGGTCTCAAATACGTGTTCGCAAACTCAGATGCGGTTATTTGTAAACAGTTCAGCAGAGCAAACTCTTACAAAAAATACCATGGTATTACCACAGGTTTTTAGGGATGTGGTTCTCTGAGTTCAAATGTAGATGCAGTTTTGTCTGTATATTGGTTGTTGACAAATAACATGGACATGACAGACAGACACACAACTTTTTCCAATATTAAGATTTCAGGTTGGGAGTGTAAGTGTAAAGTTTGGTCGCAAATTGTTGCTGTTTTCCTTTTTTTGTCTTACATTTTTACACTTCTTTGGTGGTTTTTTTGTTTTGTTTTGTTTATAGTTTTTGTTTTGTTTTGTGTTTTTGTTTTAACGTTCCCCCCACCTTACTCAGATTTTTTTTTTAAATATTATTATTATTAAAATGTTTATTTACATTTGTTTTGTTGCCATTTTATCCCAAGTTTCTCTGTTTTGTTTGGTTTGGTTTTCCACCAAGTTTGTCAGTTTTACCTTTGTTGCAGTTCATTTACATGATCCTGTTTCAAATATTATCTGTATATTCCAGTTTCACGCATTTTTGTTTTGTTATGTTCCATGGTAATAACAATGGCTTTCTTTGGAGGAAAAACTATGTGAATCATTTAGATTTACCTAGATTACTGCATATAAATTGATCATAAAATATGATAAAACTACAATGTTAACATCATTTTACTGTTTTCTGTGACAAGTCTTGTTTTTTGTCCTGTGCTAACAGAATTTCTTGTGCTTCCATCAGATAAACAACCAGGTGTTGTATGGCAGGAGCCACCAGAACGCATCAGCCATAATAAAAAGCGCCGCATCAAAGGTCAAACTTGTCCTAGTCAGGTAAGAGACCCTAAGACACGACCCTCAGCCTGCTGTTTTCACACACTATCATCTGTGCATTACTAAGAAATGACTCTCATTTCAGCGTTGTTATGAATTCTTTAACTCATTAAAAATAATGAGATCATTTTCTGTGACAAGTCTTGTTTTTTGTCCTGTGCTAACAGAATTTCTTGTGCTTCCATCAGATAAACAACCAGGTGTTGTATGGCAGGAGCCACCAGAACGCATCAGCCATAATAAAAAGCGCCGCATCAAAGGTCAAACTTGTCCTAGTCAGGTAAGAGACCCTAAGACACGACCCTTAGCCTGCTGTTTTCACACACTATCATCTGTGCATTACTAAGAAATGACTCTCATTTCAGCGTTGTTATTAATTCTTTAACTCATTAAAAATAATGAGATCATGAATTTATTATAATGTGTTAGTTTTTACCTCTGGAGCTTTGAAATGTGTGATTAATTGCAACAAATTCAAGAATAATATCATTATCAATTATTAACTCATTGACAGCTCTAATATTTATAACAAGCTCAAAATGTTGTGCATTATTGTCAGTCTTGAGCTTCAACCAAACAAGCTTGCAGAAACGGACATTCTTCCCTTCTTGCAATTACTCAAACCAAGCAATCTCACTTGCCCAAAGACGAATGTATTGCATCTTTTCTCCTGTCCAAACTCCTTGATCAAGCTGAAAATCCAAGGCACCATGGCTAATTAGGATCATAAAACAGGCTTTTTAAGGAGGCAATTGCAGTCTGTGTATGATTGAAGCAATCTAAGTCAGTGCCAGTACTTTCATTAAAAATTCCCATCTTAAGTTAACATGAGTAAAGAGAAAAATAATTTATTTTTGCAGTTTTTACACTTTGTGTGTGTGTGCATGTGTGCGTGTCTGTGTGTGTGCGTGCGCG